CATAATGAAGCTCTTTAAACAACTCATGTTTTTGGAAAGCCAACAGCCTAAGTCTGTCAGGTAAAGACTTCAAAGAATGAGCCCATCCAGCAGGCAAGGGCCAAAGCAATCCTGGATATGCTATGCTGATGACAGCCTGAGAGGGGCCTAAAATGACAGAAAATGAGGGCACAAGCCCACAAACCATAAAGCAACTTTGTTTTTAACACATTCCCAGTGCAAAATAACTGCAGAAGGCTTTTATTTTACTAAAGACATTCAATGGCAACTTTGTCTTGACTAACGGAACTCAGCACTCTTTTTGTTCCTCTTTCTTGTGCTGAAAGCTGTACTCATTTGTTTCAAATCATGGTCATCCTTCAGACGGCAAATTTTTCAAATACAAATGGGAGATCTATGAAGCAATCTCAGAAATAATTCCTTATGTAAAAACTCAAGTTTCGGGTTCTAAAAATCAAGCCTAAGGGCCATGTGTGAGCATAACCAATATAGTTTATTCCCCTGATTCCTCCACTAATTTTCAGCTACTTAGTGGTAATATTGCTGGGTCAAAGTTCTCATATTTTGCCTTCAGCACTGGAAGGAAAGATGCTATATAATTTTAATAAATAAAAGATAGTGTTAATAATGTTTAAGAGTTCATTTCTTTAATAAGCATCAATTCAGACTAATTATTTTATTAATAAGTCCACACTTGGATGCAGACCTACCAGGTAATTATAAAGATAACGGTGTTCACATTACAACCACACACAACAAGGAACTATCACCATTTTCCAAATATAAGCACACAGCCAAGAACTATCCATTTTTTCCTCAAAGAGTTAACTGTAAAGAAAAGAATAAGTGAGTTAAAGTAAGTTAACTTCTAGTTCACATTTTTCTCCCAGGAACAAAAATTTAGGAGTTAATAACACAATCTATGAAGACTTCAGTTTGACTAAAGGTTGGTAAGTTTAATGCCACTTGCTTCTAATGAGCAAGCTGGTTAATAATTAAATAAACGAACATAATCTATTCAGGATGGATTTAAACCACAACCATAAAGAATCTTAAGCACACTGCTGACATTTTGTTGTGCTGTAAAACACAGTCTGCTCTATGTGATCATGAAATGTTAAGGAAATCAGGGCTAAGCTAAAACTAAAGAATTAATGCTGTAATTAGCATCTGAAAGATAATTACTGCATAGAACAGACTATATCTACAAGGTTTTCTATTTTTTAGCTTCCTAAACAATCTTCAGCTACAAGTTAACTAAAGAGGGTGAACTGTAGATTCTAAGCACTTTCCTCAGACAAAGAGAGGTCCCCAACCCATTGACCCAAGCTCCTCTGTCCTCCCCAAAGTGGTAATCAACCACAACAATCCAGGGGTGCTACCCACCTGTTATCCATACTGACCAACAAGAGGACTGCCTGAGGTTTCCTGAAGGTCACTGGTTCAGTCACAGAACCAAGCAAAGGTAAATGGATCCACAGTGGATTTAAACCTTAACTAACCAGCTCCTGAGGACAGTCAACAGACCCTTCTCATGTGACAGTATCATGAGATGGAGGAGGACTCTAGGGTGTGAAGAAAGAGGAAGAGTCCTGGGCAACGACCAAGAAAATATACAACATACTACTTAACTATGGATGGAATCAATAGAAGGGAAGGGAGAGGAGAAAGAAAAGAGATACAAAACACCCTAAAAGTTGACTCTTTCAGAAAACCCTCACTGAGCTGGGCAACAACTGGAACCTCAGAGAGAGAAAGTCAAGGATTTGGCACAACTGGAACCTCAGAGAGAAAGTCAAGGATTTGGCCTTGAAGGAAGAGCAACAGAAAGAGTAACAATGTAAAGCACACTTTTCACAGGTTTTAAAAGCCTTTAGCTCTTTCAGGTGACTCTAATCCAAAGAAATCCTACTATTCCACCATGGCAAGCATCACGGCATCGTGCTTCTTCTGGGAGGCCGGGAGGCCTTCTCCTTCTGACACTTAGCCACAATGCAGCTCAGCGCTTTCTCTAAGACTGAACAAGGTCCTGCAAGGCAGTGTCCTCTTCTCTTCTGTAACATCCTTAACTTCAACGTAATCACACAAAATGTCCAAGATGAAAAACAATCCAACATGTACAACCCTATACCAACCATCTTAGGCTACACTTAAAAGATGACTGGTTTTTTTCCTCTAGATGACAGACATGTTAATTATATCTTATGTAAAGTTAGCTTACAAGTTTGATTCATCTAAATGAGCTGTCTAAAGTCAGAATCATCATTCCAAGTAATCTGGAAGATACCAGTTAAATGAGCCAGTTCTCATCCTGAAATGAATGCTCTCTATACAGCAAAACTGGGTATTGAACCTCATTTCATGATTTCAGCGCTCGGTTTAAAACAAACCCACAAACAAATCATGAAAGTGGTTTATTGAAGACTGCATACGCCTTTTCTGAAGCCACAAGCCAACAGCCCTCAACAATCTGATACCAGGACTTTCCTGGATCACTTCCCCAGCAAACATATCCAGCGACTTTGGCCATCATTACTCTGGCCAGCCCTAGGTTGAGAGATCACTCCTCTTTGCCACACCATTCAGGTAAAGAAATTGAAATGATGAAACCAGTTGTGTAAAATACAACCAATCTCTGTACAATACCACACATTTATGAAGCAGCTGACCAGCCATCATCTCAACCAAACTTTCTACAGGAAGCACAGTAGATAGAAGCACCACTCCCATGGAGAAAAGAGTAATCCCAGGTTTTGGTGAGCAAAGTGGCCAGCCTAAGCTCAAACATCACTAAGTAAAAGAACTGGGACAAGAACTGAGGAGAGTGTATGTACAAGTGTGTGGTTAAGGTTGCAGGGAGAGGTGGGGTTAATCGGGGAAAACTAGCTGAGGAGACACAACACAATCTGAACTTGGACACAGGCTATGTCTGTTCACAGAGGCCTTGGAAGATAGGACTCCTGTCAACCAGCCTGCCTCATAGACTCTGTTGCCTCATGACCCCAACAAAGACTCTGTGCCCTAGTCATTCAGATATACTAATGGCATCCCAAAGGAGCCCAATAGTTTCAGCCTTTGTGCCTCTGTACCTGCAATTTCCTCTGACACACTCCCCACTCCTTTCCCTTTCACCCACTTCCATCTGACCTTTGAACTCAGGTCAAATGACACCTTCTTCGGGTGTTCATCTTGGAGCAATCTGGATTGCCTTATATCACGGCACTGTTCTGGCTGATTCTGTTGTCAGCTCTCTTCCCAAGATCTAAGTTCTGGGGTGGGGGGTTGAGGGAGAATGGGGGCATCTATGTGATGTGACTCGTCTTCTCCTGTTACCTGTCACATGAAGCAGGCACTGGGTAAATGCCTGTGGACTCAAAGAATGGATGTGCCAACTTCCGGGAGGAGTTAAGCCAGGCTTCCAGGGTAGAGAATTCAGACAACTGAAGTGGAAACCATCACCTTCCACATTCACTTGAGTTACCAGATTCCTTTCTAAGCCTGGCTCCTCCAGAAGGCCTGAGCTTAAACTACCGCCATGGAATTATAATCCACGTCACGGTTTTGTGGTCTGTGTTTGTTTGAACTGGAAAACCTTCCACTGTTTATACATCTGGAGTCACTTCCAAATGTGACAACCTGAGATTGTTAACCTGGGAGGAAAAGTGACCAGCCACCACAGTGGAAGACTGCCCAGGGATCGAGAAAGCCTAACTGTTAAAAGAGCGTGAGCTCTGTAGTCTGGGTTCCAATGAGCCATTTGCCAGCTGGGTGACTCTGGGTAAATTACCCACACAACCTCCTGCCTTACATTTAAAGTGGGGTGTGTGTAGCCAGCAGGCATCTCAATGCCACAAACATCTACTGAGGAGCTGCTCTGGGCCAAGTGCAGTGACCTGGCTGTTCAATGGAAACCATGCTTGCATCATGCCAGCCTGTGTCAGTCCCTCCTGAAATACTCTGGTGTACTGGCTTGCCACCCTTCACTAGAAGGTAATCTTTAAGAAAGCAAGGGTCTTGTCTGTCTTGTCCATTCACCTCTCTCAAGTGCCAATCAAATGTCTGCTACACAGTCACTCAGTACATTTGGAAAGAAGGAATGGTCAAATCAGATACAGACCTTCTTGTCCCTTAGCAGTGTATTCTGGTGGAGAAAGTAGGGAATAATAACTAAAGATGAAGGCACACATTACAAGGGGCTTGGGCTCGCCACAAACATATAGGTGGCTCCCTGGGCTTCCTAGGACTCCACTTCCAGGCTCTTCTGGGTGGGGAGGAGGAAGATCTGACAGCCCTCCCCGCTCCCCCTGCCAACCACGGCTGCACAGGCGTGAGCCACGGGCACAAGAAAGGCAGAAGGAAAGTTCCGTCCCGTTCCGTTGGAACGTCTGAGGAGGTTCCTTTCATTCACTTACTCAACAGGTACTTATCAGGGCCCTAAGGTGTGTGGGGGATAAAGCAGAGACGTGACCAGGTCCTGTCCTCATGGAGCTTCCCTCCCAATGTGGAGGAGACACAGTACACAAGTGCTTAAAGTGGTCCTCGCACTCAGGGCTAAGTTGCCTAAGTTGCCGAGCTGCCAGGAGGAGTGATGCGACAGGGGGCGGCCGCAGATGTCCCGGGCGGTGTGGCGGGTCGGAGCGGGCCTCCCGGGGAGGGGACCTCTGACCTAGGTCCTGAGCCTTCCGGGGACAGGCGGTCACCGGAGCCCACACTCTGGGCGGAGGCCGCAGACAGGACAGGAAGGGTCACAGCGGCAACTGTGCGAGTGTCTGGTGGGCGAGGCGCGGGAGGCTGTGGAGGAGCAGGCCCTGGACTCCCGCACCGGACCCTCGGGGCCGGGGAGGGGGCGCGGGCGGGCTCGCCGCCGGACGGGGGCGGGGCGGGGGCCGCGGCCGGGGGGCCGACGTCACCGCCGCGCCGCCGGGCCCTCCGGAGCGCGGGAGGGAGCGCGGGGCGGCGGGCCCGGCCCGCGGCCGAAGATGGCGGGCCTCCGGGCTTACCTCGGAATTTGAGCTCGTGCTGCGGCTCGAGGCTCAGGACCTGCTCCACCTTCGCCATGTTCCTCGGCGGCGGGGCAGCTCGGGCGGGGAGACCCCTGAGAGGTCACCTGGGGCGGAACGCGTGAATGCTGCGCCCCCTTTAAATTTGGAAAGGGGGGGCCTGCCGGGACGCGGGCGGGGGTCGCCTATGGGTTGCGCGCGGGGGGGCGGGGGGGGACGGCCTACGCGGTGCAGGCGCAGGGGCGGAGGGCGAGGGTGAGGCCGCGGTGCCCAGCGAGCGTACGGCACGCACGCACGCACCGACGCGCCGACGCACGCACGCACACACGCAGCAGGCCGGCCGCCTTAACCCGGCGCGCGCTCGGGGGCGGCGGGTAGCAGAGCGCGCGAGCCCCTGCCGAGCAGTGCGCAGGCGCGGCGGTGGCCGCGGGGGCGGGGCTGCCGGGCGGCAGGGGGCGGGGCGTCGCGCAGGTCCGGGGGAGGGGCGGGTCCGGGACACCCAGAATTGAAGACTATCATCCTGAAGATTATTTATTTAGGCAGGGCCCATGGGAGGCAGACTTTGTGTTAAGTGCTTTAGTCAATAATTAATAAAAATCAACTTCCACTTCTCCTTGCTAATGTTCCAGGCACTTAGAGATTCTGAATAATAATGAAAGTATGATTTATTCTTATTATAAACATGATGTTTGTGAGTGAATGATGTGTGTTAGGCACGGTGACGTGTGGTAAGCAATAAATATAAATTTAGTAAGCTACCAATTATTGCTTGCTTATTTTGTGCCACTCTGCTGAACGCTTCGGATAACAACAGCATCGATTATAATAAATAAAAGCTACTCTACTTTAAATGTTTACTATGTAACAAGCACTGTGCTGAATCCTGTACTGCTAAATGCAACAAATATTTAGAAATACAATGATCAGAAAAATTGACCTGGTTCCTCCTTCTCACTAGAGGCCATAGATGAGACAGCCTTTGAATAAATAACCACCTACACAAACAAATACACTTTTAAAAATTACTGAGAACCTATATCTGTTTGCTTTTAAAGTGAACACTCTACCTCATTATCTCATTATTGACATTTAAATTTTACTTCATTATGTAGTGTGTACTACCTGAAATATGTGTTATTAATAGTCTCCTTTTCATATATAAATGAAAACAGCAAATAGCTAACATTGACTCTACATGACAGACATGTAGGGATTCTTTGTACTATTCTTTGCACTTTCCAATTTGAAATTTTTCGTAATTAAAAAAAAGGGTTTTTTAAAGATAATCTTTGTCTTTTAACTACAGCATTTGGTCCATTTATATTTATTATATATATGAATATATTTCTACCATCTTATTTTGTGCCTTCTGTTGGTCACATTTGTTTTTTTCTTTTTCCTTTCCTTTTTGCATCTTTAGAGCTAATTTTTTTCTCATTCCACTTTTCTTCCTCTTATATACTCTATGCTGTTTCAGTGATTACTTTGCTCCCTGAAAATAAAAGGACTTAAGTGTACTTTAATAGCCTATCCTCTAAATTATATGCCTTAATTATAGTATATTTTAAGTTTAATCTTTTCCTTTTTCACCCTGTGAACCATTACTAAGTTATTTTATACAGTCAATATTAATTTGGACTCAACCACACAGTTACCAATTTCTTTGCTCATCTTTTCTTCCTGCCTCTCAGAATTTACAATCAGTATCACTTTCCTCATTCCTAAATCTTTAAATTCTATTTCAGGAAGTTTGTTGCAGCAAATACTGTTAGATTTTGTTCTTCTAAAATTGACTTTATTTTCCTCCTGGTCTTGCAAGATATTTTGGCTGGTTTACTAGAGGGACAATGGTTTTCTCTCAGAGCTGTAGGATGCCACCACTGACTTCCAGCTCCCATTGTTACTGCTGAGGTTTCAGATGACAATCTCCTCACTATTCCTTCAGAAATATTCTGTTTCTTCCCATTGTCATGGGGTTCTGCAGTTTTATCACAATGTATCTTCTAATTTATTTGTCTTAGCTCATTCAAGCTGCTTTAGCAAAATACCATATAGACTGGATGGCTTAGATAACAGCATTTATTTCTCACAGTCCTGGGACCTGGAAAATTCAAGATCGAAGCACCAGTACATTCTGTGCCAGGCAAGAGCCCACTTTCTGGTTCATAGTGAGCTGTTTTCCTGCTCTCTGGAGTCATTTTTATAAGCGCACTAATCCTATTCATGAGGTTTCCCCACACGTGAGCTTATCACCCCCAAAGACCCATCTCCTAATACTATCATTCAGGAATTGGATTTGGGCGTATGGATTTTGCGGAGGATGCAAATGCTTAGTTCAGTTCAGTTCAGTTGCTCAGTTGTGTCCGAGTCTTTGCGACCCCATGGACTACAGCACGCCAGGCCTCCCTGTCCATCACCAACTCCCAGAGTCCACAGAAACCCATAGCCATTGAGTCGGTGATGCCATCCAACCATCTCATCCTCTGTCGTCCCCTTCTCCTCCTGCCCTCAATCTTTCAGCATCAGGGTCTTTTCCAATGAGTCAGCTCTTCACATCAGGTGGCCAAAGTATTGGAGTTTTAGCTTCAGCATCAGTCCTTCAGTCTGTAACATTTATCCTGTTTGAATACTCAAGAGTTTCTCAAATTGTTGACTGGAATCTTTCATCATTCTGGAAAATTCTCAGCATTTTGAAATTTTTAAAAATTGTTGTAAAATACACACATGATTTACCATCTTAATCATTTTAAGTGTACAGTTCAATAATATTGAATATACTTACACTGTTGTGCAACCATGACCACTATCCATCTCCAGAACTCTTTCATATTGCAGCTCCATACCCAATAAACAACACCCTCTCTTTTAAAAAAAAATTATTTATTTATTTGGCTGCATTGGGGCTTAGTTATAGCACACATGTGGGATCTAGTTCCCTGACCAGGGATCAAACCCAGGTCCCCTGCTCCTATGGAGTTTTAGCCAGTGGATCACCAGAGAAGTCCTAATAGTTATCTCTTTTAAATGTTACCTTAGCTCCATCCTCCCACTCTTTTTCTCCTAGATATCTGACTAGTAGTTTATTCAACCTAGATTTTTCAAGCTGTAGGTTGTTTCCCAAAGGTGACTTATAAAATCAATTTAGTAGGTTGTTACCAGCACTGAGAGAGAAAAGGAACAGAAAATATCAGAGTGCATTGTATATTTTCATGAAAATTTTGTTTCATTGTGTTTATTAACAACATACCGATACATAAAACTGTGTAGTGAGTTACAAATAAAACCCATTCATTAGACCTTCTCACACCATTCTCCCTGTCTCCTTGCCTCTCTGTCAGGGCTTCATCTCTCATCTCTGTATCCCATATTGTGGATATGTCTTCAGATCTTTCAGTCCGTAATTGTCCCTGAGGCTGCAGATAAACCTATTCCAGGAGTTTTTCATTTCAGTTATTTTTTAAAGCCTCTCCATTCTATTTGGACTTCCCTGGTCGCTGAGTTTACATAACTAAGGATCACACGGGCAGGTCTCTAACATTGGTTCCAGCCACACCCCACCCCATTGAGGGATTTTGATGTTGGTCTCCACTGTTGTCACTTTAGGCAGTGGCAGTGGCCAGGTCATCCTGATGGGGGTAAGTCCATGTTCTTGGGCCCATGCAGAGCTTCTACACCTGCCTCCACATGCACTTTAAAATAAACTCAGCATGTAAGCAATGGTAGAGGGGCCCAGAATGAGTCACCCTGTCCACTGGATTATTACTGAGTCACGGATGCCCTTGGTGGGCATTCACAAGGGACACTGTGAACGCCTTCACATTGTGCCCATCCCAGGTGGCATCCCCTAGCCCCTTCCCACACCTCCTTCCCATGAAATTTGATTCTGCTCTATCTGTTCCTAGCCGCCCACTACCGACAGGTCAGTGTACATCTGTGCTTCTGGTCATCTCTCAGCCAGATAAACATCTGAATGGACTTCTTGAGATTCTGGAAAATCAATGGATTCTCTTTATGTTGTAATTCTGCAACCTAACCAGTTAAGTTAAGTGCAGTTAAGCCTGCATGCTAAGTCACTTCAATTGTGTCCAACTCTTTGTGACCCCGTGGACTGTAACCTGCCAGGCTTTTCTGTCCATGGGATTCTCCAGGCAAGAATACTGGAGTGTGTTGCCCTGCCTTCCTCCAGGGGATCTTCCCAACTCATGGATCAAACACGAGTCTCTTATATCTGCTGCATTGGCAGGCAGGTTCTTTAACACTTGTGCCACCTGGGAAGAACCAATTTGGGGTATGGTTTTCAGCAAGATCAAAAACCTATAGCTGCAAGAAAGAAAGGATTATTTTAGGACTCCATGGAATCCCTCTGGCTTTCCAACTGGGACTTAACTGAATGTTTAGAGAGCTTGTCATTTTCTTTCCATAAGAGCTCCAGGGAACTCAGACACAACTACTACCCCACAGTCCCGGGGTCATCACTGTGACATCAGGGCAGTGGCCACGGGACTCTCCTTGTGGTTGTGGGTGCTACGTCACCCTTGGAGGCAGATGTAAAAGCAAGTAGTAGCAGTGCCACTGCATACACTTGTAGATTACTTATAACCCATGCTCAATGCTAAACTGACTCTCTGGGGTAAAAGTAACTCTGAGCTATAGTTTTTGCAGATTTCTGTGGTGCAGACACTCACACCATGACTAATTTTAAGCAACCCAGAGGTCATTGCTGAACAGGGAATTAAAAGAGAAGTGCATCATTGGTTCCTGCGAGCTAGTCTGAGCCCAGCATGCCCCTGCCTCTGTTCCACGCCCCGTAGACACCTCAGTCAGGCATGAGGATGTGGACTACTCAGACTCTGCATCCTGTCTTTGAGGGTCCATCTCCTGGGATCACTCTTGGTACTAAGTCTTCTACCAGTCCAGGTCCAGCCAGGAAAGCAGAAATTACACCCGTTATTTTGACAAAGATAACTTCGCATAAAAAAATGGTTAATGGGGTAATGGGGAACTGTAAAAGCAAGAAGAGGAAGACACCAAGGTGTCTTGTGGGTAGGGGAGCAGGGG